AAAAAGTAATTTTGAAAAAATAGCATTTTTATAAAAATTTCAAAAATGTGATATTTTTGTAAAATGACACTTGAAAAGTAGCATTTTTTGAAATTTCTCAAACGTTGTTTCATAACCTATAGGGTTGAGGTTACTATTTCTTTATAACTTTTTATAACTTGAGGTCGAGGTCTTGCATGGATTACACTTCGTAATCCTAAGTTCCTAGTCTAACATTTTTATTAAATTTCATGGTTTCGAATTCAAAAACTAACTGTGTATGAATGGAATGACATATATTCTTTATATGTGTACCATCTCAATTTTCTATGTGGTTCCTAATACATTTTGTCGAGATAATGACTAATTCGTTAATAATGTGAACTAAATCTTATCATTGAGGTCATAATTTGTAGGCATACTGTGGTCATAAAATATAAAACTTAGTAGATTGTTATAAAATGTTAGTTATTGTTGTGATGATTTCTTTCTAGAAATGTTATTTTTTATTTTTTTCCCCCTATAATATCTACAATAAAAACAAGATTTGTTTAATTGATATTAGAAATCCAAAAGGAAAAAAGGAAGATATATAATCTTAGCAAGATTTTAATTTCCTTAAACAAATATTTATTTTCGAATTAAAATCACAACTATAAGTCTACAACACATTTATACATGCATGAAACAGTTAAGCGCATCTCTAACTCTAACCATAATCATATCAAATTACGACTAATTAATATTCAACCTTCTCGATAATTCTTCTTCTTTTGGTTTCCGTCAAAGAATCTTCCTCCTAAACTATGAAAAAATTATTTGGATAGAGAACGATATACTGAAATTTCCCAAAAAATGATTATGTGATTACAAGAAACGTGTAATTCCTGTTCTCTTGACAGATACATACATGACGAAGACTTACCCATACACATCAAAATATTATTTTCGTTTCTGTCTGTTTACATGCATGTTACACCTTTTGGTATTTCTTATCTAAGTTTCAAAAAAAAAAAACAATTATTTATCTGTTTTCAAAAAAAAAAAATTTATTTATCAGTTCTTAAAATTTACATCATATTTTATATATTATCCCGAAAGTTCCATAAGTTATTCAAAATTTATAAATATCACCCAAAATTATTCGTAGTTATCCGTTCGATTTGTACTTTTCGCTATTCAAATCATATGTTTTGAGTCATAATTTTAAATAACATGAATTACTCTTATAGTATCTGTTACCCACATAGCCCAATTTGATTAAGAATATACAAAATGGTAATTTTGATACTATCCAATCTTTATTCGCCATTATCTAATCCTTTATTCGTAATATTTTTTGCATAAATTAAAATCGGATAATTATATGAGATATTCAAAATTATATGACATATCCAAATTACCCATTTGGATAATTATTCTCAATCAGAATTATCCAATCCTTTATCTGTAATGTTTAGGTCTTTTGATAACCGCAAGGTTTGCGACATTTGGTCCGGAATGTCCATACCTAGTTAACACCACCCGTGTAAAAATTTGACTATAATACGATAGATAACACCACAAATCTTAAGTAACAAACCAACGGTAAAAAAAAAATAAAAGAGAAACCCCTAGAACAAAACAAATACATATCGATTAGCATTCCGCACAATAATCAGATCATTATGCTCGATAGACCGTATACGTGATTATAATTACAATGTTCACGTTTATTATAATTTTTAATACTTAAAAGGTTCGCATATATTGGAATTAGAAAAACAGACATGCCCAATACGAAATAGTGAACTATATACCCAAGTTTTTTCGTGTGTTACCCTGTTAAGAAAGCGTCAATTAATCAAAACTCATTCTCTTCACGAGTTGAAAATATCTGAGTACAAATGTTAATCCGTCTTATTCTAATTGTAATTCATGTTGATTGGTTATATTTTATTACAAGTCGATAAACAAAAATAGTTTAAACATCGTATTCTATAAAGAAGAAAAGGACAATTATAATTGTTAATGAGAAAAATTACCCAAACAAGTGATTCGGATACCTCATGTAATTTTGAATATCTCATAATTATCCAAATTTTACTATTGTATGTTAAATTAAATTATTTTGACCCAGACGAATAATATCAATTACTTTTATCCAAAACTTTTGGACCAATTATACAAGTATAATTAAGTTATCCGATCCGAAATGTTCATGCATAGCGTTATTTAAATATAATAAAGAAGTCTTCGTTTTATCATATTTTTTTTATAAACCGTTGGAGTTCCAGAATTTTTATCCATAATCTCTTCGATGTCGAAAACCTGATAATACCACGTTTAAAACGTAAATCACCTCTTCCAAATAGAGTTGAACTAGTGACCTTAAAAACCCTTTTTTAAATTTCAAAACCATTAGACCACAAACCACTTAGTTATTTTAGCATTTATTGGGCTCCGTTTTATGTTTTTATGAAACCACACAATGAAATATGCGAAACCAATGCATATGTGACCTAAAATTATGTTGAATCATGACCGATGTACAAACTTTACATTCTCAAAACATTGTAACATAATACTATTTGCGATTTTGTTATCATTCAGAGTAATCACAATCAAATTGCAGACAAATATGTATAGATAAACGGCAATTCTAATTATCCAAGAGCAGGGAAATTAACTATTGTTGCTTGACTAAATGATCATTGGATTTATCAATTCAAAGTTCAAATTTCTATGGTGCATGCTCCAATCATCTGTCATAACTAATAAAAATTATTTACTGGAGGAAATTGATGATTTTAAGCCATTTTTGACCAGAAAGTTTTCACTGGTCAACTAAAATGTTTTGGAGTATATAACGAATTTAAAATCTTCCGCGTTTTAATTAATTTTCACTTTTGTAGTAACATTTTATACTACAAGTCAATGTATATGAAATTACTGTATTCATTGATACACTTCCTTGAAAAAATGGGAAGAAGTGCATCAACATAAAATCAAAGTTATACGACCATATCTTACTTTTACTAATATAACATCAACTTATTATATATTTCTAAATAAAATATGTCTATGTTTGTCCAAATTTATTAACTTTAAGAGTCAGTATAAATTTACAATGAGCTGTAAATTAAACTAGTAATATTAATTTTTGTTTTTTTCCCAATTTTGTTTCTTGTGCACATCTAAATTTATGCCTATGGTTGTGGATAACAACAAAAACCTTAACGTCAATTATTTGTGTTATATGGCTGTTTTTTTCCTTCCTTATAATGGCTTCAACCTTTTCTAGAACAAAATAGTGGGTAAAATTTGCCATGGTTTGACTAAGAAAATTACAATTATATCATAAATAGGAAAAAGAAAAGAAGGTAAAAAATAGGAAAAAAATCAAATAATTCAGGCGTTCCAGATGACCCAACTGACCAATTCAGAGTAAACAATAAATTTTTAAATCAGAGAAAATTCAATTAAAACAAGGAAACCAAAAATAAAAAATAAAACTCTGTGCCCTGCCATAATTCCACTTGGACTTATATTTTTTTCCCATTATCGAAAAAGCCGAAAAAAGAATCAAATTAAGAAGAAAAAAAAAACTACTAGTACATAAATAAAAGACAAAACGGCTCTGGCAAAATCTCTGACCTTGGAAAGATAAAAGATAGTTCAGTCACATAATCAGCATGTGTACGTCGTTTCTTTAGTGCTTAATATTATTATTTATTAAAAAAAAACTTAATCATCTATATATAAATAACAATGTCAGATAACTATTAATTCAACCCCTAAAAACAAAAACAAAAAACAAAATCTCTCCCTCTTTTCTTTTCAACTTTTTCAGTTACTTTACTCCCATTCATCTTTTTTTTTTCTCCTC